ACCCCAATCTGGAACACCAGTTCATCAATTACAGAGAAAGTCTCTTGTGATGATCCAGAGTGTGATACAAAAACAACAAAGTCACAAAAACAAGTAAAGTCCCTTTAATTCCTTCAACTTGACTTCAAAGGTCCAATTATCATTGACCGGAGAAAAAAAAAAACCTCCCCCACCAACAGTTGCGAAAAGGAAGAAATGCCCTTCAAACTCAAAATACATATAAATTATAAACAGAAAAAAACAACACAAACCGCACTGAAGCAATGAATGAGACCAGGCAGGATAAGGGCTTGAAGACGTCCACAGATATCGGAATACACACACTGGGAAGGATGCCAGAACTCAGATAAGAACTGACAGACTAGAATTATTTCACGCTTTGCTTCCAGCACTGGGCCATGCACAGTTTGTCCTTTTAAACAGTCCTCACAGCTGCAGCCCATGAAGGGGATCAGGGCCCTTTCCTCCCCCATAGACCATGCCATTCACGTTTCTCCCTTACCCGTTCCTCCCTGCGTGCCCTAGGATGAAGAGGGGATGGGCCTGGGTCTTCCTCTGACTGCCTAGCTGGCCTGTGCCCTTCCCCAGTTTCCTCCACAACCTTCAGAACCACATTCGCACTCCCACATTCCTATTCTCCCTCGGAGTCAGACTCCCAACAGGGCATGACATCTCCCCTTGTGAATGAGTTTGTTTCCAAATTGGGATAGGTGGGGAGGCGTAGAAGCCCAAGGTGCCCTCCCTCCCTGCTGCTTGGTGCCCTCCATTCAAGAGGAGCTGGCGAAGGGAGGGCCAGAGCAAGCGAGGCCCGAAGATCTCACCTTCTTTTTTAAATCTTCCTTCGCAATTGAGATAAGACAGCGGGTTAGATGAGAACAATTTAATTAAGTTGCCGAAAGGCCTCGGAGTCGGCCCTGCCTGACAGTAAGCTGCCCCCTCGGCGCAGGATTGATGGCCCTTTCTGCTGGTTTCTCCCCCACCCACCCCCCTCCTTCCTGCATTTGAAAATTAAAAATCGGAATTGGAATTAAAAACAATCAAATACTTTCTGTGCCAGACCCGGGCAGTGCCAGCGATGCCAACCTTCCTTCCCAGGATTACCCAACTCCTTTTATTACGGAAAGATAATCGAGTTGTGTTTGTTCCAGTGGATAGACAAATAAGCAATTTGGGGGGGGTTGTGTGGGGGATAAGGCTGCAAGAAAGAAGACATTAAAATGTATTTGGGGGATGATATTTCTTACCCAATCCGGGGTTCACCTTTATGTTTTCTCATCACATAGCCATTAAGTGAATCTGGCTCTCCTGTGGATTTTGCTTGTCTGAAGGTCGTAAAAGGGGATCATTGTTGTGGCCTGCCAGCGGCCAGTGGAGCTGGCGGCAGACTCGGACAGTGAGGAGGTTGGGGAGGACCACGGGCCAGTCCTGGAGTCTGGGGGAGGCTCCGACAAGGGCTCTGCATCGGAGGCAGAGATGGGGACAGGGCCGTCTAACAGTTATCAGCTGCCTTCAGAGTCGGAGATCAGTGGGGAAGAAGAACAGCTGGAGCCTGTTCCCAGTGTGCGCATGCACAGAGCTGCCAGGAGAAGGGAACAGTTAAGGAACAAGGGTCAAGTCAGGAGTCAATGCTCAGGTGGACAGTGAATGGCCCCTCCCGTAGGGAATAAAGAGGAGCTAAAGGGGAGTGGTGTTTTCAGGAGACAGTTAGTTCGTTTAATTAGGGTGAAGATCCGTTTCTGACTTCTTGCCAAGTAATTGCTGCTCCAGTGTGGCGTTTGGAAGATAATCAACCTGGCAACTCTCCAAGCTTGATAAAGGTCTGTAGTTATGAAATCTTATGAAAGACTGTTTGCTGGAGAGGAATTCATTTTAACCTAAATAAAAGGGGTTTTATCGGGACGGGGAGTCTGAACAATCATGTGACTCCAGGACATTGCAACCATCATAAATATGAACCAGTTGCCCAGCGTCTTGAATTTTGATCATGCGACCATGGGGATGCTGCAGTGGTCGTAAGTGTAAAAAACGGTCCTCAGTCGCTTTTTTTGAATGCCGTTGTAACTTTGAACGGTCACTGAATGAACTGTTGTAAGTCAAGGCCTACCTGTATCCTTTCCACCGTTCTGTGCTCTGCGCAGTTTATGGTTCATCGTTCTCAACACACTTTCCTACAGGTGTTTTTGGTTCCCCTATATAAATGATGCGCACTCTGGCTTCGCAGTGTGGGAAGTTGTGTCAAAGGGGTTGCGCCATTAAAAGGTGCTTTTTCATTGATAGGCTTCTTTTTCCTACCACTTTGATGGGTCTCTTGGTTGGCATTTTGGTTGACAGTCAATGAATTCTTTGAAACAGAACGGGCTTGCTCCTTTTCAGAGGTTTTTGTGGGTGTGGGTGCATATCTATGCAGTAGATATTTATTTATTTATTTATTTATTTGTAAACACATCTTTCTCCTCCTATTTCCCCCTACAACAACAACTCTGTGAGGTAGGTTAGGCTGAGAAAGAGAGCGCGAGTTGTCCAAAGTCACCCAGTTGGCTTTCATGGCTAAGGCGGGACTAGAATTCCCCATCTCCTGGTGATTGTCCCAAAGTCACCCAGCCGGTCTCATGCCTGAAGTGAGACTAGAGCTACCTGTCTCCTAGTGATTGGCCTAAAATCAGCCTGTTGGCTTTCATGCCTAAGGCAGAACTAGAACTCCCATCTCGTGGTAATTGTTTCAAAGTCACCCATTTGGCTTTCATGGTTAAGGCGGGACTAGAACTCCCCATCTCCTGGTGATTGGTCCAAAATCTCCCAGTTGGCTTTTGCAGCTAAGGTGAGACTAGAACTCCCCATCTCCTGGTGATTGGTCCAAAGACACCTAGTTGGCTTTCATGCCTAAGGCAGAACTAGAACTCCCTATTTCCTGGTGATTGACCCAGGAAAGTCACCCAGTTGGCTTTCATGGCTAAGTTGGGACTAGAACTTCCATCTCCTGGTGATTGTTCCAAAATCATCCAGTTGGCTTTCGCAGCTAAGGCGGGATTAGAACTCCCTATTTCCTGGTGATTGACCCAGGAAAGTCACCCAGCTGGCTTTCATGGCTAAGGCAGAACTAGAATTCCCCATCTTCTGATGATTGGCCCAAAGTCACCCAGCCAGCTTTCATGCCTAAGGTGGGACTAGAATTCACTGTCTCCTGGTGATTGGCCTAAAATCACCCAGTTGGCTTTCATGCCTAAGGCAGGACTAGAACTCACTAGTCTCCCACTTTTTAGCCCAGTGCTTTAGCCGCCAGACCAAACTGGCTCTCTTTAAGATGAAATATCTCCCGTTTCTTACCACCGCATCCTCAAGTGAGTTTAGCAGGTCACAATAAACTTTTTCTATCTTCTCCCACGCGACATGGCAGGGACTCCAGAGCGATATGGATTTGGCAAGGGAAGCGAAGTCTGGGATAAAAATTTGTATGCAAAAGATTCCCCACCCTCACCCCCCACCCCTTACGACCATTCATCCATTTTAGATGCATAGAATATAGCCTGACAGCAATTCCAGAATCCCTTTTCAACACAAGTACTTTGTGGTTAGAGATGAGTGCGCTGCACACCCCTTAATCGTTCCACTGGGGAAAAGTTATGCATTATGTATTCATTGTCTTGAAAGATTATTAACCAACTGCAAAAGCCTTCTGGGACACTGCAGGTTGAAGCCAAAATAAAGACGGTTATTTCCTATAACCTCCCTTGGAATTCCACCCCAAAACACATTTCGGTTGTTAATGAACTGACTGGTGGAGCATTCACAATGTGTGTGTGTGTGTGTGTGTGTGTGTGTGTGTGTGTGTGTGTTGGGGTGGGGGTGGGGCGTGGGGCGTGGAGAGCCCCATGTTTTCATAAAATTGCAAAGTTGTAAGCCTGTGCTATCCTGCAGGTAGTCCTTAACTTATTATTCACTTAAGGTACGGCAAGAAAGGTTGTAAAATGGGGCAAAATTCACTTAGCAACTGTCTGGTTTAGCAAAGGCAATTTGGGGCTCTGTAAGTCGAGGGCTAACTGTAGCAGTCTTGCAGTACTTTAGGGGTTGTCCCAGGTAAGGGGGAGGGGGCGGTGTCAACCTGTTCTGCAAAGCACCTGAAGGCACGACAAGAAGTCTTGGGCAGAAACTAATCAAGGAGGGAAGAATGAAGAGCCTAGAATTGAGGAGAAATTTTCTGACAATTACAAATATTAATTAGTGGAACAGCTTTTGCCTTCAGAAGTTGTGGGTGCTACAACACTGGAGGCTTTCAAAAAGAGATTGGACAATGGCATAGGGTCTCCTATTTGAGCAGGGGTTTGGACTAGAAGACCTCCAAAGTCCCTTCCAGCCCTATAAATATTCGATTTTCTAAGGCCGTGATGGTGAACCTATGGCACGCATGCCACAGGGGGCACACAGAAGAGCTATTGGAGTGAGCACGCAAGCCCCAGCCAAACATACCTGCACTGTGCATGCGCGCGCCTCCCAGCTGATTTTTGGCCTGTTTGAGGCCATTTTCTCCCTCCCAGAGATTCGAGGGAAGCCTCTGCAGCCTCAGGGGGCTGAAAAACGGGCCTTCCGGAAATACCAGAAGTGGCAAAACGGGCCCAGTTTCAGCCTCCAGCGTCTTCCCTCAAGCCTCTGGGATAGTGAAAACGGCCACCAACGGGCCGAAAATCACCTGGGAGGCGCGCGCATGCGCAGTGCAGGTAAGGGTGCGGGGCGGGGGGTGTTGCATGCGTATGCACAGGTGGGAGGGGCGCATTGCCTTGTGGGTGCACTTTCAGCACGCCACAACAAAAAGGTTCGCCATCACTGCATTCAGCAGACAGATGAAACACCTGTGAATGCAGCTTTTATCTGGAACTACAACTCCAATCAGCTCCTCCTGGCCCTTGTAGCTCAGGACCTTGGCATTACACTTCCAAGCAGAACATCTCCCCCGCCCCCAAGGGGATTCCAGACATCCTAACCTGTTACCTGTTCTCCTTCTCCAGGCCCACCTTCAAGTATTTCACGTGGCACACCTGTGTGCTGGGCATTGCTGGCTGTGTCGTGATGGTCTTCCTCATCAGCCCCATCTACGCTTCGGCCAGTGTGGCCTTCATGGTCATCCTGCTGGTGGCTCTCCATTACCTGTCCCCCAGCAGCAGCTGGGGCTACATCAGCCAAGCTTTGATCTTCCACCAGGTAAGAGCCATCCCAACAGGGTGGGGGGAGTGTTTGAGCGGTCAATGAGACCACGGAAACAGATTGTCCTCAGCGTCTGGAGCCAAAACTTCAAGCTCTGCACCATAAACTGAGAACATTGGTTATTTATGAAAGGAAGGTCAAATTTATGGTCTTAGGAATTCCAGCCAGTACAGCACCTCGCTGTCAAATGAGACGCTTCTGTAGGCAAACCCTGGTCTGTTTCATCGCGCTTTCTCCAGGGGTGGGTTTCTACCGGTTCTGTCCACCTCTGTAGAACCGGTAGCTCTGAAGAGCAGCAGACATAGAACCGGTTCTACGTCTGCTGATGTTTTTTGCCCACCCGTCCACCTGGGCTCTTACCTGATCTTTATCTCCTGGTTTTTCAACTTCAGCTGCCGAACGAGGCGCAGCTGCAGTTAAAAAAGCAGGAAAAGAGGGCTGTTTCAAAGGCTGCTTCTCGGCACACAGTGTGCTAATGACGATTAACAGGCACGCGGCTCACAGCGTGCAGGGAGGCTCGTAAATCCCGAACCGGTAGTTAACCCTGTCGTATCCCACCCCTGGCTTTCTCAGTGCGGAGGCGGAAGAGACGCACAAAGACGGACAATCTGCCTCTGACTCTCGGTTGGTCTCTGCTGTTCCCAGGGGTGAGATTCAGCCGGTTCGGGCCGGTTCACGCGAACCGGAGGTTAAATTTACATCCGGTTCGCCAAACCAGTAGTTTGAACTGACCAGCTGACCCCACCCCACCCCTCCCAGGAGTCCCCCAAACGGCCCGTTTTGGATGCAGGGAAGTGCAGCAAGTGTGAAGGCTCCGAGAGGCCGAAAAACAGAAGTTCAGGAACAGGCCTGTTTCTGGAGCCCAGGGAGGCCATGTTCACCCTCCCAGAGGCCCGAGGGAAGCCTCCAGACTCTGGGAAAGGCGAAAAACGGCCCTCCCAGAAGTTTTGGTAGGCCACGCCCACCATAACAATGCCCACTCAACACCATGGCCACGCCCACCCAACAACCGGTTGCTGGGATTTTTGAATCCCACCCCTGGCCGTTCCCCTGATCCGTACAGGCCAGGATTTCTCAACCCTGGTCACTTTACACGTGGACTTCAACTCCCAGAATTCCCCGGCCGGTTGGGACTCCAAGATCCCTCTCACAGTTACTGATATTGATCCAGTCCCAAAGGCAGCTGGACTTTCTTGCCTTTTTTTTCTTTTGAAGACGTTTCGCTTCTCCTCCAAGAAGCTTCTTCAGCTCTGACAGGATAGTGGGGAATGGAAGGGTTCATATTCCTTGCAGGCCGCTGGTCATTTGCATCCTTTTAGAGGGTCGTTGAGGCCACTTAGGAGTCCCAAAGGTGCTTTTTCAGGAGGCAACTGGACTTTCTTGCCTTTTTTCTTTTTCTTTTGAAGACATTTTGCTTCTCGTCCAAGAAGCTTCTTCAGCTCTGACAGGATAGCAGGGAAGAACTGAAGAAGCTTCTTGGGTGAGAAGCCAAACATCTTCAAAAGTAAAAAGCAAGCAAGTCCAGTTGCCTTCCAAAAAAGCACCTTGAGGACAACGGTGACCTGAGATGACTGAGAACCTCTACAGGCTGTTGAGCCCGGTACCAGCTATTCTATACCTGTCCATTTTGGTTTTTCTTGACGAAACGTACAGCCTTAACTTTTCTCTCCATTAAATTTTTATTTTATTAGGGGGAGGATCTGCCATCTCCATCTTCTTGGCCCCTCGCCTCTCCCGTTGCTCTGTTGCCAATGCCGGAGCAGGTGGTCATCCTTATTGGAGATTAATTTTTCCGATATAATAACAACATTCCCGAATTTGCATCTGTTTCCTTTTGCCGGGGACTCTTTATCCTCCGCTCACCCTTTGAGCCGACGGCTCGCCCTTCCAGCTGGCGTAATCCCCGCCCTCTTGCCTTTCCCCGGGAACTGTGCCCGGCTCTTACAAACTGGGCCTCTTGCCCAAGCCCGGCCTTTTAATTTGGGTGTCATAAAACTGACATTTAAAAGTTCTAGTTAGGGGGTTTAATGGAGGAGCCTTATTAGCCAGCTGCTGTTTCCCCGACGCTGCCTGGCAAAGCCAGAGCCCTCCTGGGAGGAGGCGGGTGGGGAGCCGATCAGATTGTTTGATCAGGCAGTTTGCTTGGCATTTGGCACACAATGCCAGGCCGCCCGTTCTGTGCATCTTGTGACGGGCCTTGTCATTAGACCTCCACCTGCCCCCCCCCCCAGGTGCACCAACCTTCTGGGTTGAGCTCTCTCTAACGCGGGAAAAAGCCACCCGTGGAGACCCTGAAGGAATATACGGGTGGTCCTCCGCTTACGACCACAACGGAGCCCAACATTTCTGTTGCTAAGTCAGACAGTTGTTTAATTATTGCCCCGTTTTACTGCCTTTCTTGCCCTGTTTGTTAAGTGAATCCCTGACCTTGTTAATTGAATCTGGCTTCCCAATTGACTTCGCTTGTCGGAAGGTCGTAAGAGGGACCGCTGCAACCGTCATCACTACAAGTCAAGCGTTTACATTTTGATCACGTGACCCCGGGGGATGCTGCAAGAGCTGGTTGAAAACCCATCCTAAGTCACTTTTTTTCGGTGCCTTGAACGGTCACTGAAGGAACTGTTGTAAGTTGAGGACTGCCTGGTGTTTCTCAACCTGGGGGACTTTAAAATGTCTGGACTTCAATTCCCAGGCTCTCCCAGCCAGACCTTTTCCTTCTCCTCCTCCTCCTCGCACTCACCGCTCACCCAAGACAATTCTTGATGGCTTTCTCAGACACAGCACATGATCAACTTCCTTCCCCTCAGCGCTAATCAGGGGTGAGATTCAAAAATCCCAGCGACCGGTTCGCTGCCTGGTTGCTGGGTGGGCATGGCCATGCTGGGCGTGGCCTACCGGAACTTCCAGGATGGCTGTTTTTCACTTTCCCCAGAGTCCGGAGGCTTCCCTTGCACCTCTGGGAGGGCGAAAACAGCCTTCCCCAGGCTCCAGAGGCCTTCCGGAAGCCAGAAACAGGCCTGTTTCCAGACTTCCAGAACTTCCATGAGGGCCGTTTTTTGCCTTCCCCAGAGTCTGGAGGCTTCTTTCGTAAAATCACCAAACCAGTAATTACACCTGTCAGATCCCACCCCTGCCTGTGACCCTGTTTCCCCCCCACTCCCTGTGTGTGTCATAAATCAGATTCTCCAACTGAGCACCTTCACAGGCTGGGCGTCATCCATCATGTTCTCCAATTAAATATATTCACAGGCAAAAGCTCTGGTATTTTAGTTACAATCTTTGAAAGATAAAGAGTTGGAATGGACTTCCGCTTTCAAACTGCTGCCCTGCTCTTCCATATTTCCTTCCTTGCGCCCCCCCCCTTTTTTTTTTTTAATGGCAGCAACTAAAACAGGCACAGGCATGTTTCATGAGTTGACACCTGCCTGCAGAAGAGGCCGCTTGACGGCTAAGGAGCGTGTGAGTTTTTCAACAAGGTTGAAAAAAAAGAGAGAGAGAAAGCAGGCCCAGAGCAGGCGGAGAGAGCGGCAAATCTCCCCAAAGCCACTTGGGGATTTCTCGCCTTTTAATATCTTTAGTTCCTAGCGGTGACGGGCCGGGATGCCGGACGAGAGGCAGTGACAGATTGCAGGCAATCAACAGCCGAGACCTGAGGGGGCAAGTGGAACAATTGCAGTAACCTGAGATCCTCCGCGGAGTATCAAGGGGAATAAATCTAAGGAGTAACGTTTACTTAGCTGGCGTGATGTGACCTGACGGAGGCTGATGAAATACAGTGGTTGCTGGTAGTGAAGACAAATGTTAGCAGCCAAAGACGTACATATGCGTTAGCATCCCTTGAGCTCCTTTGGGTCGTGGCTCGATGCATGGCGATCAATCAATCGGAACAGAGGCTGGAAGGGACCTTGGGGTGTGTGTGGGGGGGTCTTCTAATCTAACCCCTCCCCAAGCAGGAGTACAATTTCAGACAAGCGGCTGTTCAGTTGCTTCTTAAAAACCTCCAGTGATGAAGCACCCATAAACTTCTTGGTGATGGTGGACCTATGGCGTGCGAGCCCCAGCCAAACTTAACCTGCACTGTGCATGCGTGCGACTCCCCAGCTGATTTTCGGCCCGTTTGAGGCCTTTTTCGCCCTCCTGGGCGGGCTCAAGGAAAGCCTCTGCAGCCTTTGGAGGCAGAAAAACAGCCCTTCTGGAAATATCAGAAGTGCCAAAATGGACCCGTTTTTCGGCCTGCATAGGCTGCAGAGTCTTCCCTTGAGGCCCCGGTAAGGCGAAAACAGCCTCAAACAGGCTGAAAATCAGCTAAGAGGCGCGCACATGTGCAGTGCAGGTAAGGGGGGGGGTGTTGCACGTACATGCGCAGGGGGGGCGCATTGCATTGTGGGTGCTGGCGTGCATGTGCTATCGGCACCCCACAACAAAAAAGGATCACCGTCACTGTTCTAGGTTGCTTCTTTTCTTGATTACTTTCCATTCCATTTCTTCTTGTCTTTGCCTTCAGGTGGTTTGGAAAACAAGTTGACCCTCCTCCACTTTGGGGGACCCCCCTCAAATAGTGGAATATAGTGCTATTAAGGCCCCCGCTAGTCCTTCTTTTCTCTAGACCCGGCCAAACCCAAATCCTGCAACCATCCTTCCATCTGTTTTAGCCTCCAGGCCTTTAATCATCTTAGTTGCTCTTCCCTGCGCTTTTTTCAAAATCTCAACATCTTTTTTGTTGTAATGCGGTGACCAAAACTGGACGCAAGGATTCCGGGTGTGTTCTTACTAAGGATTTATAAAACGGTACTACGACTTCACGCGATTGTGATTCTGTGCTTCCGTTTAGACAACCGAGGATTGTGTTGGCTTCTTTTGGCTGCTGCTGCACACACACACACACACACACACAGAAAGAAACACACAAACACAAGCATGCAGAGCAAGGGTGCTCCTGACTGGAGTGCTGCACAAAGGAAAGAAAAATTGTGACTGGTTTTTCTTTTGATACGTTGAGGTTGGTGAAGCAGAACCCCCAGTTGGGTCCAGCTTTTTTTATCCCAAGGGAATTCATTCCTCGGATTTTTCAAATCCAGGTAATCCTCGACTTACGGCCACAATCATGTCCTCACTTTCTGTTGCTAAGTGAGATAGTTCTTTGGTGAATTTTGCTCCATTTTTACGGCCTTCCTTGCCCACAGTTGTTATGTGAATCGGCGTAGTTAGCCGCACGGTTGTACAGTGAATCTGGCTTCTCCGTTGACTTTGCTTGTCCGAAGATCACAAAAGAGGATCACAGGGAAACTGCAACCATCACAAATACGAGTCAGTTGCCAGGTGTCCGAATTTTGATCATGTAACCATGAGGATAGAGGGATGGGGTGGCTCAGTGACCTAAGACGCTGAGCTTGTCGATCAGAAAGGTTGGCAGTTCAGCGGTTCGAATCCCTAGCGCTGTGTCACGGAGTGAGCTTCCGTTCCTTGGCCCAACCTAGCAGTTCGAACGCATGTCGAAAGAAACGCAAGTAGAAAAATAGGGACCCCTTTGGTGGGAAAGGAACAGCGTTCCGTGCGCCTTCGGAGGCGTTTAGTCCTGCCGGCCACATGACCACCGAGACGTCTTCGGACAGCGCTGGCTCTTTGTGATGGAGATGAGTAGCACCCCCCAGTGCCAGAAATGACTAGCACGTAGGTGCAAGGGGAACCTTTTACCTTTAACCATGGGGAAGCGGCAACGCAGTGGTCGTAACGGTGAAAAATGGACTAGCTCACTTTTTCAGTGCCGTCATGACTTCGAACGGTCTCTCGGTGAGCCGTTGTAAATCGAGGACTAGCTGCCCCTGATTTTCCATGACATGGAGCACTAAAGCTGAGGCTCTTCCTCAGTGGTGGGATTCAAACGTTTTTTACTACCGGTTCTGTGGGCGTGGCTTGGTGGGCGTGGCTTGGTGGGCGTGGCTTGATGGGCAGGGCAAGGAAAGGATACTGTAAAATCCCCGTTCCCTCCCCACCCCACTAACCTGCTTTCCAGCTCCGTTCTCCTGTGCAGGGCAACCAAAGGAAGACCCAGCCGATCAGCTGGGACTCAATGGGAGGCAGAGAAGAGACGGGGTTGGTGGGGCCAGTCAGTGACGGGATTGGCCGGTTCTCTGAACGACTCAAAATTTCCGCTACCGGTTCTCCAGAAGTGGTCAGAACCTGCCAAAGACCACCTCCCTTTGAGAGACAGAGGTGTGGAACAGGGGTCTCCAACCTTGGCATGCGCCGGCTGGGGAATTCTGGGAGTTGAAGTCCACACGTCTTAAAGATACCAAGGTTGACGATCCCTGGCCTAGATAGGCCCTGCTCAGGTCACTTCTGGACAAATACATTTTGCCAAACCATGTTTATCAGTCTCTCTTTCAGCCCAAACCAAGAAAATGTGCCACGGAGAACAACCTTGGCACCCGTAGGGAGGAGATATTCCTGCAGCATCCTCACCTGCCAGCAGGATTTGGACAGTTCCCAGCCCTGCCTTGCATCTATTATCAAAACCGGGGTGTGGATAAAAAAAGGGGAAAACATGAATCTTTAAACTGGAGCAGCCAAGTTGACTTTCAGAGTTTGCTCTGGGCTGTGCATGAGATGACGGCAGCCGTAATAGTCAGCGTACGAAGTTTACCTCAGCGTGCTTGTGCTGCGGGTTTTTGAGGATAAGGCCAGGACGAAAAAAAAAAAAAGCAATTACCTTAGAGAGCCAGGCAGCCACATTCTCTGGCTTCAAATCTCCAACCGGAGGACTGGACAGCTGTCTGCTGGGAATAGAGGGCTCCGAACAAAGCAAGGGTCTCCGAGGTTGAAGCGGGCCTGGCTGGGCTCCAAGCCTGCGACGCTGCCTGGTTGTAAGATCGTAAAGAAGAGCCTTGGCAAACTCTGGGCAGGGGCGACGTTGTCAGCCAGATATGTCAGTCCTCGTCCTTCTCCCTCCCTCCCTTCCTGCTCTCTTTATTTATTTATTTTTAATGTCATTTCCATCACACGTCTGCAGCAGCGTTCAGGGTTGGGGGGGGGGGGGTTTGTTTTAGTTTTTTGGAAAGAGCCTTTGCATAAATTTATACGGAGCAGGAAGGAAGGAAGGAAGGAAGAGAGTAAAAAATAATACGAGAGACAGAGAAGCTAAAGCTTTGGATGCCTCTCTGAGCTTCCCGTTCGTTTGGGGAAGGGGAAACCCGGAGATCGAAAGGCCAGCATTGGTTTGGAAATGGGAGGTTGGGGAGGGGAGGAAGGAAGAGCGAGGAAAAGGGGGAGAGGAGAGGAAAGGAAAGAGGAAGGGAAGGGGAGAAAAAGGAGAAGGGAAGGAAGGAAATAAAAGAGGGAGGGTGGAAGCAGGGAAGGAAGGAAGGAAATGAAAGAGGGAGGCAGGAAGCAGGGAAGGAAGGAAATAGAAGATGGAGAAAGGAAGAAAGGAAATAAAAAAGGAAGGGAGGAAGCAGGAAAGGAAGGAAATAGAGAGAGAGAGGGAGGGAGGGAGGGAAAGAAGGAAGGAAATAAAAGAGGGAGGGAGGAAGCAGGGAAGGAAGGAAGGAAAAGAGGGAGGGAGGGAAAGAAGGAAGGAAATAAAAGAAGGAGGGAGGAAGCAGGAAGGAAGGAAGGAAAACAGGGAGGGAGGGAAAGAAGGAAGGAAATAAAAGAGGAAGGGTGGAAGCAGGGAAGGAAGGGAATAAAAGAAGGAGGGAGGAAGCAGGGAAGGAAGGAAAAGAGGGAGGGAGGGAGGAAGGAAGGGCAATAGCACTTCTGTACCACTTCACAGTGCTTTACAGACCTCTCAAAGCGGTTTACAGAGTCAGCCTCTTGCCCCCAACAATCTGGGTCCTCATTTTACTAAACAAATCCAAACAGCCACTAAGCGAATGGTTGTAAGCTAAGGGCACCTTTACTATTGCACAAAATATGTATCGAAGCCCTTGCTTGAATTCCTATTAAAATTACACATCGGCTGAGAACTTGATTGTGATCTTCTTTCTACCTGTTAAAATTGTAGAGCGATGCACAATCCTTCAGGATGGGACAACAGGTCCCATCATCCCCAGCCTGGATAATGTTTGGGGCTGCAGTCCCTATAGATCCGTTTTTCTCAGCCTATTGGAACTTTAAAGACGCGTGGACTTCAACTCCCAGAATTCCTTGCTCTATCTGACCCTTGCGCTTCTTTCACACCCAGGTCCGCAAGTACCTGCTGCTGTTGGACAGCCGTAAAGAACACGTCAAATTTTGGCGCCCGCAAGTCTTGCTGATGGTACGGAATCCACGCACCTCCCTCCAGCTCATCCGCTTCATCAACGACCTCAAGAAAAGCGGCTTGTACGTGCTCGGCCACGTAGAGCTGGCGGATCTGGGTAAGGAGAGAGTAGGAGAAGGAGTAGGAGGTCATCCGAGGCCCAGCCAGATGTCCCATGATGAGGTCGCCTTCAAGTTTGGACCAGTATTTCTCAACCTCCGCCATTTTATGACGTGCGGACTTCAACTCCCAGAATTCCCCAGCCAGTCTTGCTGGCTGGGGAATTCTGGGAGTTGAAGTCCACCCCTCATAAAATGGCAGAGATTGACCAACACTAGATTGTTGGCAACCTTCTTCTCTGCTCTCACCAGCAAGAACCATTTCACATGGACAGGGTGGAGATGTTGAAACAATTTTCCAATCATAAGTGTGCCGGCAGTCCTCAACTTACACCAGTTTGTATAGTGACCGTTGGGCGAGCTACAACTGCCCTCAAAAAAGTGATGCATGACCATATTTCATACCTAAAAAATGGCTGCATTCCTCTCTGTCCCTTGGTGAAAATTCAGTCACTTGGCAATGGAGTTTAGTTTAGTTTAATTTAATTTATTGTCATTGCATCTCATACAACAAAATTAAATACCATCTTCAGTGTACATTATGACTATGAAAATAAACACAAACAATCATCCTTCATGTTCTACGCAATGGAACTGATAAACCCCTCATTTTGCATTAATATTGCACTAGACAGTAAAGTCCTGTTTATGACGGGTACCTCGGCCTCTCGCCATCCTGTTTTGCAACCTTCTCATGAGCAAACTCAACAGGGAAGGGTAACAGCCAGATTAGTAATTTGACAACGGCAACGATTCACTTAACAACGGTGGCCAGAAAGGTCGCAAAAGGGGGGCAAAACTCACTTAGCAAAGTTCTCACTTAAACAACATACATTTCGGCCTCGATTGCGGTCGTACGTTGAGGACAACCTGTGCTCCAATACCTTCACCAGGGATCAGCAACCTGTGGCTCTGGAGCCGCATGCGGCTCTTTCATCCCTCTGCTACAGCTCCGTCACTCAAAATACGCATCACAACCACCAATGTCCGACACCCGCATGCATGTAATTAATTGAGCTTTTCGATCCCCTGGTAGGATAAATGGATCAATCCAAGAAATGAAAAAGTTTCAGAAGAAAACAGAAACATTTAATTCAACTACATATGCTAGTTTTGTGGCCGCTCAGGAAATCATCGGGCACTGAGAAGTGTTTTGTGGCTCCCAGTGTTTTCTTCTTTTTTTGTGGGAAACTGGTCCAAATGGCTTTTTCAGTGTTTACCCCTGACCAGGGCTGGAATTCAGCCGGTTCGGCCCGGTTTGCGTGAACCGGAAGTTAAATTTACACCTGTTTCGCCAAACAGATAGTTAAACCAACCAGCTGGCCCCTCCCCTTCCAGGAATCTCTCCGTGCCCCCTTTTTGGGTGCAGGTAAGTGCAGGATCTGCGTGGAGGCTCAGGGTGTGTGTGTGTGTGTGTGTGCGAAAAACAGGCCAAACCAGAAGTTCTGGAAGTCTCGAAACGGGCCTGTTTCTGGCTTCTGGAGCCCAGGGGGAGGCTGTTTTCACCCTCCCAGAGTCCCAAGGGAAACCTCCAGACTCTGGGGAAGGCCAAAAACAGCCAAGCTGGCAGTTCCAGAAGTCGAAAAGGGTCTGTTCCCGGTTTCTAGAGGCTCTCCGGAGTCCAGGGAGGCCGTTTTCGCCTTCCCAGAGGCCCAAAGGAAGCCTCCAGAGTCTGAGGAAGACAAAAAAAAAAAAAATGGCCGTCCTGGAAAGTTCCGGTAGGCCACGCCCACCATTGCCATCCAGCAACCGGGGAGAGAACCAGTTGCTGGGATTTTTGAATCCCATCCCCTACCCCTGACCTAAACTGCAAATCTCTGGGCCGTCTCAAGATGGCCCTAGGCAGACACCAGTCTCTCTGCACTGCCACCTAGTGGTGGCTCCAAATTTTGCAGCCATGCCCGTCCGTGCACAAGGCAAGGAGACTCCAGCTGGCTGGGAAAGATCCCAACGTTTGTTCCTTCCTTTTGTGGAACTCTCGTCCTTTGTACTGCAAATTGATTTCTCAGATGCTTTTGTGAAGGCTGCAAAAGGGGCCCCTCCTGGAGCTATTTGGGTTTCCATAGTAACTAATGGATATTTCTTCCCCCCCCCCACCCGCCCCGAGAAAAGGGGGGAATGTGGGAGGAGGAGGTTTGCTAATTTCATTTTTTTTTTTTTAACCTAGAGTTGACCAAAACAGAGAGACGGGGGCGGGGGAAGGAAAGGGATGAAGGGAAAAGCACGGATGAAATTTAAGCAATTGTGCAAATCACGGAAGTTGTAGAGGATTGAAGGAGGCACCTCATTTGTGCCCTAGAAGAAGATTCAGGGTTTGGGAACAGCCCGTGAGCAGCCACAAACAAACCATCTTCTGCGTCTCCTCTGCCCACACGGTGAAACCATCATTCTGACATGTGGCAGATGAGAAATCTGGCATCGCGCCACAGGCAATTCTCGACTTATGCCCACGATTGAGCCTCCCACCTTCCTGTCGCTAAAGGAGGCAGTCGTTAAGTGACTATGTTTGCTGCATTTTGCCACCGTTGTTAAATGGTAGGGTTGGTAACTGAAGTCACTTTTTTCAGTACCGTTGTAACTTGGGTCACTGAACAAACCATTGTAAATCGAGGATTACCTGTACACCAGGAGATGCCTTTCCGAGGAAGATTTGTGAAACAGACAATAATCTTTTGGGAGGCGGCTATAAAGATTAGATCTCAAATGACACTTGAGAAAATATAAACTTATTTTTGGGCAGAGAAAGAATGGATTTACCAGCATCACACACCTGATCAGGAAAAATAAAAACCAGATTTAATATAGCCTGTAGTATTCAAAGCTATCCAGGGGGTTGGGGTTTTATTCATTGGTAAAATAAGAGCTCATTTTGTAAATCCAGCAGGAGGCCCATAGTGTTCTTCCTCCTACTTTCTCCTACAATGACCCTACGAGGTAGGAAAGAAATTAGCACAAAAATTGCCCAGGAAGCTTCCATGCTTGAGAGTAAGCTGGAATCCAGATGGTCCTGTTCTTAATTCAGCATTGTAACCATTCAACTTTTGCAAGTTTTTAAGATGTATGGCCTTCAACTCCCAGAATTCCCCTGCTATGCGGGCAGGGGAATTCTGGGAATTGAAGTCCACGCACCTTAAAATTACCTAGGTTTGGAAACGCTGTTTTAAAGCCAACCATATTGGCCACTACAAATGTGTTTCCTCAAAAATAAAACCCTGACTTTTTATTATTATTATTATTTTTTGGCCACCAAAAATGGCACCAGGTCTTATTTTCGGGGGATGTCATCCACTGACTAACCTCGCTTGCACACGTCGACCACGGCCTCCTTTTCACTGTCAGAGGCCTTCAGGAACTTTTTCTGCGGCTGGCAAGGCTCCCCTGAAGGCCTCTGCAGCCGATAACGGAGCTCTGGATCGATCCAGAGCTTTGTTATCAGTTCCAGAGGCCTTCAGGAAAGCCTTGCCAGCTGCAGAAGAAATAGGCCGGCAAGGCAGGTGTGCGAGGCCTGGCTACAATTGTCCAAAGTAAGTAGTAGCTCTACCCCACCTCATCCCCACCCTAGCTTAATTTTTACTCATTTACTCTGGAGTGGACAGGATCTTAATTAGGGCTTATTTTTTGGGGGGGGGGGTAGGGCTTCTATTGGGCGCACGTGTAAAAATCAAGCTAGGACTTACTTTCAGGGTAGGTCGTATTTTCGGGGAAACAGGGTTTCACCAAGATGAAAATGCCTCGAATAATGGCCTGTGCTGGTGTCTTTGTCCTTTCCCTCTGCTGGGCCAGGCCCTGCGACTGACCCTCTCTGCTTGTCCCCAGACTGCCTCCCTTCTGACCCCTTGCCGGACCAGTCCGACTCCTGGCTGCAGCTGGTGGACCGGTTGAACATCAAAGCCTTCGTCAACCTGACACTCGCCAGCTCAGTGCGGCGCGGCACACAGCAGCTGCTCTTCATCTCGGGACTAGGTAAGTAACCTTTGGGTTTCTAGGTGGTCACCTTTTCTCCAGCTTCAACTTTGCAAAAAAAAAAAAAAAAAAACCCAACCCTTTAAATTCCCATTGAGCCAGTTAAAGCCAGATTTTAACAGAATAACAGAGTTGGAAGGGGCCTTGGAGGTCTTCTAGTCTACCCCCCTGCTCCAGCAGGAAAACCTGCGCCCTGTCAGACAAAGGGGCATCCAATCTCTTCTTAAAAACCTCCAGTGTGGAGCAGCCACAACTTCTGGTGGCAAGTTGTTCCATGGGTTAATTGTTCTCCCTGTCAGGGAATTTCTCCTTAGTTCTAGGTTGCTTCTCTGCTTGATTAGTTTCCATCCATTGCTTCTTGTCCTGCTTTCAGGAACTTTTTCTTCTTCTGCGGCTGGTAAGGTTTTCCTGAAGGCCTTCTGCAGCCGATAATGGAGTTCTGGATCGATCCAGAGCTTTGTTATCAGCTAGAGAGGCCTTCAGGAAAGCCTGGCCAGCCTTGCTGGCTGCAGAAGAAACGGGCCGGCTAGGCAGATGTCGGGGTGTGCGAGGCCTGGCTACACCTGTAGGTAAGTAGTAGGGTAGCTTCATCCCCTCTCCATCTCCACCCTAGCTTAATTTTTACCCATGCACTCTGGGGTGGGTGGGATCTTAATTAGGGCTTATTTTGGGGGGGGGGTAGTTCTTATATTGGGCACACGTATAAAAATCAAGCTAGGACTTACTTTCAGGGTAGGTCTTATTTTCGGGGAAACAGGGTACTTTGTTATTATATGCAACCTACTTATATGGTTACTTGATCCTAAAATATGCTTGTAGTCCTTGACTTACAACTCAAGGTAGTCCTTGACTTACAAGCATTCCTTTAGGGACGGTTTGCCATTATAACGGCACTGAGAAAAGTGACTTGTGACTATTTTTCACACTTGTGATCCCATGCTCTTGTGATCAAAATTCGGATGCTTGGCAACTGACTCATATTTACGACGGTTACAATGTTCTGGGGGTCGCACTATCCTCTTTTATGAACGAAGTCAATGGGGAAGTCAGATTCACTTAACAAGCATGTTACTGACTTAACAGCTGCAATGATTCACTTAACAACAGTGGCAAAAAAGGTCACAAAATAGGACAAATCTCGCATAACTCTCACTTAGCAATAGAAATTCGGGGCTCAGTTGTGATCATAAGTTGAGAACTACCTGTAATCAGCGTTATTTCTTTTTGCCTAATGTATATGTAGATTAAGCCATACTGTGGCGACAGTATTTTATTTATCCCCTTTATTATATTTTACTTCTCCTTTTAATTTGGCTTTACACTTTAGCATTATTATTATTATTATACACTGTTGTTTTGCAAGTACACTGGGTACTTTTGTACTGGAGACAAATTCCTTGTGGGTTTAATTACATTTGGCCAAATATATTAAGTATAAGCAACATAAATAGAAGAAGTAAAAATATAAAAGCATAAGAAATATAGAGTAGAATAGAATAAAAAAAATTATTGGCCAAGTGTGATTGGACACACGAGGAATTTGTCTTTGGTCCAAATGCTCTCAGTGTACATAAAAGAAAAGATACATTCGTCAAGAGTCACGAATCATAAGGTACCACACTTAATAATAGCCATCGGGTACAATAAGAATAGAATAGAGTAGAGTAGAGTAGAATAGAATAGAATAGAATAGAATAGAATAGAATAGAATAGAATAGAATAGAATAGAATAGAATTCTTTATTGGCCAAGTGTGGTTGGGCACACAAGGAATTTGTCTTGGTGCAAATGCTTTCAGTGTACATAAAATAAAAGAGACATTCGTCAAGAGTCAAGAATCATCAGGCACAACACTTAATGATAGTCATAGGGTACAATAAGCAATCAAAATCATACTAGGAAACAGTCAATATAAATTGTAAGGATACAAGTGACAAAGTTACAGTCACACAGTCACAAGTGGGAGAGGATGGGTGATAAGGAGTGATGAGGAGATTAATAGTGATAGTATTAGTATTAGTAATAGCAGACTTTGCCAATAGCTGGACAGTGTTGAGGGAATTATTCATTTAGCAGAGCGATGGCACTGAGGAAAAAACTCCCCTTGTGTCTAGTTGTTCTGGTGTGCAGGGCTCTATAGCGTCGTTTTGAGGGTGGGAGTTGAAACCGTTTATGTCCAGGATGTGAGGGGTCTGTAGATATTTCCACAGCCCTCTTTTTGACTCGTGCAGTCAAATATAAAAGTTTAAGCACAGGTAGTCCTTGAGTTATGACCACAACAGAGCCCAACATTTCCGTTGCTAAGCGAGACATTTGCTAAGGGAGTTTTGCCCCAATTTATGATCTCCCCTGGCGCAGTTGTTAAATGAATCACTGCAGTTGTCAAATGAGTGACGTGGTTGTTATGTGAATCTGGCTTCCCCATGGACTTTGCTTACACAAAAGGGGATCACATGACACAGAACACTGCAACCGTCATAAACACAAGTCTGTGGCCAAGCCTACGAATTTTGATCACATGACCAATGTCCAACGGTCGTAAGGGTGAAAAAAGGTCATAAGTCAGTATTTTTAATACCGTTGTAACTGCAAACGGTCACCTAGCGAACTGATGTAAGTCGAGGATTACCGTACAGAAGAATAAGTATAAAATGATAAGTAGTATAAGAAGCACATAAAATATAAGGTAAAGGTTCCCCTTGCACATCCGTGCTGGTTGTTTCCGGCTCTAAGGGGCGCTGCTCATCTTCGTTACAAAGCCGAAGAGTCAGCGCTGTCCGAAAACGTCTCTGTGGTCATGTTGCCGGCATGACTAAATGCTCAGCGCACGGAACACTGTTTCCTTCCCACCAAAATGGTCCCTATTTTTCTACTTGCATTTTTTTTACATGCTTTCAAACTGCTAGGTTGGCAGAAGCTGGGACAAATAACGGGAGCTCACTCCATTACACGGCACTAGGGGTTCGAACTGCCGAACTGCCGACCTTTCTGATCGGCAAGCTCAGCATCTTAGCCACTGAGCCACCCATCCTTACATAAGAAGTATAAAAATATAAGTATGAAATCCAGCTCTTGTTCTGTGTTCTCCTCCTCTAGGAGGCATGAGGCCTAACACCATTGCGCTGGGCTTCTATGACAACCCACCCCCGCTAGACAACGTGTCCCAGCCCACCGCCTTCAGCAGCGACGAGGCAATTTGGCATGACTTCCCTCCCGTCTGGAGCTCCGGAGGACCCAAGCAACTTTCATCCTGGGAGTATGTGGCCATCATCTGCGACGCCATGAAGATGTCGCGCAACGTCCTTCTGGCCCGCTACTTCGACCAGCTCCAGCTGCCTCAGACCGCCGGGTGGCGAGCCCAACCTCTCATCGATGTCTGGCCCATCAACCTCCTGCGGCCCGACAGCGCCCGCTACGTCGACACCAGCAGCCTCTTCCTGTTACAGATGGGCTGCGTCCTGGCCATGACTCGGTCGTGGCGACGGTCTCGGTTGCGCCTCTTCCTCTGCGCGCAGAGTTGCACCAGCCCCCAGGGCCAGGAGGACAAGTTGCGGCAGCTTCTGAAGAGCCTGCGCATCCAGGCGAAAGTCCAGCTGGTGCTGTGGGACGACGTGGTCGCTCTCCATTGGCACAGCCGCCAGGAAGACTCAGCGGACGGCGCCCTCAACTTCTCCAGCAACATAACCTCAGTTTCCGACGAGTACTTGACTGCGGTTAACCAGCTGATCCTCCAACAGAGTTCCGCCCCTACTGTCCGCTTCCTTTACCTGCCCCGTCCTCCCGCGGACACTAATTTATACCCCAGGTATTTGGAACAGCTGGAGATCTTGACCCACGGACTGGGCCCCACACTGCTGGTGCATGGGGTGAGTGCCGTCACGAGCACTCAGCTGTAAAGCAGGGTGGTCTGTTGTCCACGGTGGGCAAGGGTTGGTGGTTGACGGAAAACACCAGGCCGAGGTGGCCCTTACGGATCGAAGGGAAGGGGAGATGACGATCGACCAGCAATATTCTTGCCTGAAGTTGGGGTTCCACATCTCCCCAAGCTTTTCCTCCCAGGCTGGGGTGCTGCGATGCCTCCCAACGTACGGCAACGGTGCAAGCAAGGTTGGAGGCCCCGGCTCAGTGGTCCTAGCCGAGAGCTTCCGTCGAGCGGCGTCTTCTCTGGGCTGCTTTTCCAGACTCCTGAGAGAACAAACTCCTTGTAACAACCAAAGAATAGGGACCCGAGTCCGGGTCTTTCATCTTTGGAGTTTTGGGCAGCCAGAAAGTTCTTTGGCGCCGGTGACTTTGGAAAACTCTGTGACAGCTGCCTTTCTTTGCACGCTTGTAAAGATGGGGACAAGAATTAAAGGTGGCATTGTTGGATTTAAAACTCTGGTGATGGCAGGGTAGCTGTTTCTTACTCACAACAATCAGGATTTAAAGCAGGGGGTCGCCAAACTTGGCAACTTTTAAGACTTGTGGCCTTCAACTCCCAGAATTCCCCACCAGCCTTTAAGACTTCAACTCCCAGAGTTCCCTAAACAGCCTTTAAGACGTGTGGCCTTCAACTCCCACAATTCTGGGAGTTGAAGTCCACAAGTCATTGCCCATTTGGAGACCCCTAACCTAAAGGATCCATCATCAACAGCAGGGCTTACCAGAAAGCGACAAACCCATCCCGCAGCTTTGCTGTGTAACAAACGCTGCTTGTGGAGTAGCAAACGCAATTGGCACCTGTTTGTGTGATGGCTTCCAGTCTCAGCAAATGTGTTGCCTTGAGTATTGGATCCATTAATTGAAGGAAGAATGGAGAGAGAGAAAATAGGTAATCACTCTTGACTCTTTCATTCAGTGGTCTTGCTCGCTCCATATAGTTAACTAGGTCAGTAGGGCAGCTAATGAATTGTAGAGAGGCATAAATCACGTGGGATGACCCATTTTAGTCAGTCCTCCAAGAAAAAGAGACCGAAAGGCAGAATGTCTGGAAAAAGCACAGATGAACTGCAATGACCCAACTGCTCAGTAGTATCTCCAATCAGAATAGAGCTGGAAGGGACTTTGGAGGTCTTCTAGTCTAGCCCTCTGCTCAAGCAGGAAACACTATATCAGTGGTGGCTAACCTTTTTTGAGCTCCTGTGCCAAAAATTGTGTGGGCTCGTGCGCTCACGTGCCAGCACCAAAAGGCAATACGCGCGCTCCCTGCGCATGCATGCGCAATCCCTCCCCCCTGCCCCCTTACCTGCACTGCATCTCCCAGCTGATTTTTAGCCCGTTTGGGGCCTTTTCCGGCCTCCCAGAGGCTTGAGGAAAGCTTCTGCGGACTGAAAAATGGGCCCATTTCATCACTTCCGGTATTTCCGGAAATACAGGAAGTGATGAAATGGGCCTATTTTTTTTGGCCTGCAAGCCTCTGAGAGGCCGAAAAAGGCCTCACACAGGCCAAAAATCAGCTATGCGCAATGAGGTAAGTTTGCCTGCGGCTCCCGTGCCAGCACAAATAGCTTTGCGTGGCATCTGTGGCACACGTGCCATAGGTTCACCATCACGGTGCTATATTATTTAAGACAAGTAGATGCCCAGTCTCTTCTTAAAAGCTTCCAGTGATGAAGCACCCACAACTTCTAAAGGCAAACCACAGGTTAACTGTTCTAACTATCAGGAAAATTCTCCTTCATTTTAGTTGGATGTTTCCTTGATGATTTTCCATCCATTTCTTCTCGTTCTGCCTTCTGGTGCTTTGGAAAATAAATCCCGCCCCCCTTCTTTGGGGCAGCCCCTCAAATATTGGAATATTGCTATCATGCCAGCTGTCAGGGTTCCATTTAAATCAAGAGTCTCGAGCTAAACTTCCAAAACTTCAAAAGGATTTATTGGGAGTTAAAATGGCGGCACTGCCTGGGTGTAGCCAACTCTGAGGCACATCATTCCTTGTCACCCTTGACCCTGGTTTTCCCTCCACTTCCTGGGTACGTATTGTGATACACCCAGGCAGTGCCAGCATGTTTACTCCTAATCAATCTTCTTTAAGTTTTGGAAGTTCGGCTCGAGACTCATGATTTAAATGGGGGTAACGGCTAGAGCCCTGACAGCTAGCCAACTCTGAGACACATCATTCATTGTCATCCTTGACCCTGGTTTTCCCCCCACCCGCTGGGTGTATCGTAATTCATATATTCTCCAATGGGACACCTCCATAGCCCAGAGTCATCAATCACGCTCTCCAGTTAGAATTTTGCGCGGCAGAAACTTCCGTCGCCTCGTTACTATCTTTGAAAACATTTATGGAATGCACTTTCGGTTTGTAAGCTGCCACACTGCTCCCCCCCGCTCCTTTTCTGTCGGCAACTCTTAAAAAGACCATCAAAATATTTTATGAGTTGACACCCCACCCCCCGCCCAAGCCTGGTCCTTCTTTCCTCTAGACTGGCCCAAACCCAAATCCTACCACCGTCCTTCATCGTGATGCCTGTCTATCCAAGTGAGAAGAATTAGAGCAGCGCCTGGGAAGGAATTCTGGGAGTTGGTCCACAAGTCATAAAGGATTCATCGTTCCCTACCTTTGACCTCGATAGAGAAGGGCACGTGTTGATGAGACGCAGGTAGCCCTCGAATTATAACAGCTTGTTTAGTGGCCGTTTTGACGTTTCAACAGCCCTTTAGAAAAAGCGACCTATCACGTTTTTTTCACGCTTAACAACCGTTGCAGCTTCCCTGTGGTATTCATGACTTATATTTATGACGATTGCAACGTGCTGGGGTCAGCTGATTCTCCTTTTGCGACCTTCCGACTAGTCAACGGGGAAGCGAGATTCACTTAACAGCCGCGTTGCCAGCTTAACAATGGCAACGATTCACTTAACAACCGTGGCCAGAAAGGTCATAAAATGGGGGCAAAGCTCACTTGAACAACTTTAGCAACCGATACGTTGGGCTCCACCGAGGCAGCCCGGCGCCCCGAAAGGGTGTTCCTGCTCAGGCGGCCTCGGCGAGTCAGTGAAGCTGAACAAGGGCGCCCCTCGTCTTGTTCAGCGTCCGCTCTCACCGCTCCGGGACATCGGGAGCAGGAGGATTGGCGGCCCCCCGGCTGGTGGTGTGGGGAGTGTAGAGAGGGAAACTGGGCCACGCGGCTCCACTCAGGCAAGAGAGAAGCCTTTGGGGTGAGTGGGGCCATGAGCACGGGCGCACATCACTCACGCGGCCCCTTTGGGAATAGGCCCACAAGTTGCGGGGTGGGCTGTTCTAGAGTCTCTACCAAGGGTGAGCTCGTAGGGCTTCGCAGGAGTTCGAGAGAGCCCCGAACTAAGATTGTGTGCAGTTTGGAGAACCCCCCCCCCAAATCCCCACTCCTGGCTGGCCCCGCCCACCCCGTCCCTCCCATCGCAGGAGTCCCCCCCACACACAGCCTGTTTTGGATGCAGGTAAGCGCAGGGCGCACATAGAGGCTCAGGGAGGGCGAAAAAATAACAGGCTTCCTGGGAGTTCAGGAAGGCCGGAAATGGGCCCGTTACCACAGTGGTGAGATTCGAAAACTTTTACTACTGGTTATGTGGGCGTGGCTTGGTGGGCGTGGCAGGGGAAGGATACTGTAAAATCTTCTTTCCCGCCTCACTCCTGGGGGAAGGATACCGCAAAATCCCCCTTCCTTCTCCACCTCACTAACCTGCTTTCCAGCTCCGTTCTCCTGTGCAGGGCAACCAAAGAAGATCCAGCCGATCAACTGTGGGCATGGTTTGGTGGCATTCTGTGGGTGTGGCTTGGTGGGAGCGATAGGGGGAAGGATACTTCAAAATCCCCCTTCCCTCCCCCCTAACCTGCTTTCCAGCTCTGTTCTCCTATGCAGGGCAACCAAAGAAGATCCAGCCGATCAGCTGTGGGCATGGTTTGGTGGGCGTGGCTTGTTGGGCATGGCGTTCTGTGGGTGTGGCTTGGTGGGAGTGGCAGGGGCAAGGATACTTCAAAATCCCCCTTCCCTCCCCACTAACCTGCTTTTCAGCTCTGTTCTCCTGTGCAGGGCAACCAAAGAAGACCCAGCCAATCAGCTGGGACTCAGGAGGCAGAGAATAGATGGGGTTGGCGGGGCCAGTCAGAGGCGGCATTGGCCGGTTTTCTGAACTACTCAAAATTTCCGCTACCGGTTCTCCAGAACTGGTCAGAACCTGCTGAAGACCACCTCTATATTTCTGGCTTCAAGAGAGCCTCCGTAGTCCCGGAAAGCCGTTTTCATCCTCCCGGAGACTCGAGAAAAGCCTCCGTAGCTCAAGGAGGGCAAAAATTCTCCCTCCCACCATGTGACAGGAGGCCGACTAGGCCACGCCCACCTTGGCCACGCCCTCCCAGCAACCAGGCAGAGAGAACCCTTTGCTAAAATTTATGAAGGCCGCCCCTGGTCTCTACACCACTTTTTCCCGAATAACATGGCGACCAAAACTGAATGCCGTGTTCCAAGCGGGTCCCCGCTGAGGCTTTATCAAAAGCGGTACTGAACACTTCACCCGATCTTGATTCTTATCTCTCAACGTTGCCCAACTTTTTTCGTGGGTGTTATCCCACATGGGTGGAGGCCAACTTCGTGACTCGC